AAAGTAATGCTTTTATAACTTACACTCAGTACTGCATGTGTCTTTTTGAAATGTGTATGATTCAACTGAGACTAAACAGTTCACACTATTATGAAATTGAATGGATTCATTATTAAAACATTGCTAAAAATAAATCAGACATATATTTATTGTAAAATCAAACTCATTCGCCGAATGTAAACAAACCGCGCAATTGCATAAACGCTTATCTATGGCATGGAACACCAAAATCTGATAAATAATTTTAAAAAATGTGTTTCTCAGGAAGAAAACCAGAGGTTTTCAGGATTTTTTAGAAATATCCGGAAGACTTTCATTATTAATCAGTAAAGGCAGAAACTGACAAGCTATTCTCAAAAAGTCAGAAAATTGGTCCACAGGATGACGGCCAAAAGGAATGCCACTTAATTGGAAAGTTTGACCAGACAGGCAAAATTCCATGCATAAGGATTGAGAGAATATATTTCTTGACAAGAATGGGATGCATTTATATATATATTCAATAATTAGACATCACAGAGTTATGCGATCAATATCTGTATTAAATGGAAATGAAGTACCTGACAAAACTGAATACAGGCTATAACCTTAAGGCATTCCATGTGTATTTGTGAATAATTATACAAAAAACTTTAGTAGAGCAAGAACAATACAGTCTTCAAAATAGTTTTTCACCTGTGCTTTAAGAATTAATACAATTATCACCAGCATACTACCCTAAAATTGAAATATGTCCATTTCCCATAATGAAAGCAATATTGAATAGCAGACAAAATTTTATAAGGTATGTTACCAAAATGCTCTGGCATTTCAATATATTAAAAGTTGTTAATCTAACTGATTTTTACCAATAATTAGTCTATGAATAGGCCACCTTTGCTATTAACATTCCTTAAATAATATTGTAGTATATCCAACTTATTACTAATTTCATTGATAATTCATAGACAAACATTTGTTTCCTTAGCTTTTTTATTATGATTATACCTTGGGATTACTAATATCTTGAACTTAACAATACAATTTATTATTTACATCATGTCATGACACAGAACGAGTGGAGTTTACTACTCATATGTATCTGTCAATCACAGTATTTCAAATTTTAAACCAATGATATTACAAAATCTCTCCTTTACTTTCATAAGTACACATGTAAGCTTTTACTTCATTTCTCGCATTTGGTTGTTGAAAATGTTCATTTCATTTAGCCATATAATATGTATCCACATGTATGAGTTTGCCGGTGTTCGATTTTCTTGAGACTACATTTTACCTTGCCTTGACACGGGTCTCGTGTAGTATCAGCTTACCATGTAAAGCAATAAATCACTCGCATTTTGTTAACATTGTTCCAATGGGACAGTAACGTGGAATGAAAGGTCGATTTCCAGGTACAATTTTTATTTTATTTCATTAATTATGAACTAAATAATTGAATTTACATTGTAAATCTACTAATTTGTGCCTGTGAAATCTAATGGAGTGTGAATATTTTTTGATTTTCATTATTTAAAAATTACCGAAATTTCCTACTATAATTATAAATGGAAAATTATATTTTGACTATTCTGTAAACACTAATAATTCTAGCGAACTTTCTTGGATTAATACTCATAAACAAAGATCACGAGAAACGCAGGAATAATAATAAATCTAAACTTTGAGAACAGCCAATCACGTTGAGTCAAGGACATGTCTCGGTTAGGAACCAGTACCAGTATCACAACCAAACAAACATCGCATAAAAATCAAATTTAAAAATCAAAGTAACATTCATTTTCTGGAATACAGTTATGTCCTATCCTTTCAGGTAAATATCAACTGTTAAAATTAATGCATTTTGTTCATAATGTTAGAGTATTTTTTTAATTATTAAGTGGACGAGTCAGTAGTATTAGTATTACTAGTACCGAGTACTACTAAGCCTATTACGAATCGACAAAGAACATGGTGAACGTTAAAGCTTAAAATTCTCCGCACTACTAGTACAGTTGTAGTTGTAAGGTTTAACAGCTACTATTAGGCTTAACAACTGGCATGGCGTACAACAGTCAGCTCTTAATGTTATAACGCCATGTCTTAAACTTATAGAAACAAAAACCATAAACTTACCTGTAGCTAATATAATAGAATATCAAACTGTTTAGTAAATTTATTGTAGTCTACTGTTTATAAATTTGGATAACAATTCAACTTTATGCACAAGCCTAAAGATACTAAAAATTCAAACCACCTCCCTCGCATCAAATAAAAGCCCGGTAATATCATAAAAGTTATAGGGGACCGTTTCAAATTATTAATAGTAAAAATTAACCAGGCTCACGCTTAATTTTTTCGTTTTACATTTGAAGCACTACAAATTCGGTAATTGGATATCAACATATTAAAATAAGTTTTAAATACCTTAATTTTAATATGAAATAAGATTTTGTTACCTTAAGTTTTTATTATACTTTTTCTTTTTTATAAATGATACCTAATACATAAACTCTTTCAGCATGATTTTCAAATTTTCTTTTCAAGAGGATTTCAACCTTTATTTACCTATACAAGTACTATAGTTCAAAAATACACAAGCCCTTTTCATTTAGAAAGCAGAGAGTAGTAATAAATGGAGTTAGATCTGATTGGATTACAGTTACAAACGGTGTGCCTCAGGGTTCTGTGCTGGGTCCTTTGCTGTTTGTGATTTATATTAATGATATTGACTCTGGAATGAATAACAAAATTTTGAAGTTAAGACTTTTGGGGTGGCTAACTGTATTAAAAATCTGGCAGACTTACAGGGAGATTTAGATCATTTGATGCATTGGGCCAGTGGCAGATGATAATGGCTGGAGACGGCTTGAATGGGTAATGAAGAAAAATTTTAATATAAGTTTAACATAACAGCAAATGTACAACGTTTCGACAAGGTTTTGTCATCATCAGGTATTTCATTTTTGTATCTAATGAGCATTTACTGCAAACCACAATACTTTTTTGTATGTAAACCTTAAAGGTACAGAAACCAATAGAAGTTGTTTCTTAATGCTCCTGGAAGGAAAGACTGAGCATCAGATTAACAAGTCGGTTAAATAAGCAATAATGTTTTTTTAAGCAAACACACACACACACACACATATATATAAGGTTTTAGTTTAGACATTGTTTTTATATGACTCTAAATAGACATGAGAAATTATTGGAACTGAAAACATGTCTCTCAAACTGAGCTATCAAATGATGTGAAAATCACTTACCTAGTCTTTCATCGTGTCCTCATCTTTTGGGCCAAAGTCAAACCTAATCAGATGCACTGTTTACCATTACTAAGCAATTACTAGTCAAATATAGACGTGGAAGCAATAAAACAGGAGTTAAGCCCCGGTTACTATTAAGCCTGTTGAGGTCAGGAAAGTGGATGACTACTGGTAAATTTGCTAACAGGCCAGGAACAAGCTTATTAGTTACTGTTTGTTACTAAAACATACACTTTTTGTAATAGGTTTATGTCACTGAGTTAAGTTTTATTTTAGTGTCTCCTAGCACTATCTCTGGGTGATTTGCTTGCAGGGAGAATAGTAATCTAACTATTGTCCATTTTTGTTAAGTTAAGATAGAAAAGGAGTTTCTGAAATTAACTACATCTAAGAATTCCACCTAATTGCTATAGTCGACGGAATTTTTGATTTAGTTTGTTTGAAATTCTTACAGGTGACTTCATCAACTAATAATTTTATAAATGCGCCAAATTGTGATTCATTGTTAATTTAATAAATCAACATCATTTGCTTCAGCCTGAACTCCCGATCTATCAAACGGTAGGTGGAAAAATTCTGACCCTCCTGTTTTTGCTTGATATACAGCCAGGTAATGGTCGTACTGGTCACTAGTTTTAATCTACCAATTCGTATTTATCTTTACAAAATTATTAAATAATACCTTCTCATAATTATGGAGAGAACCTAGACTTAAAAATGTGTCCTGCTGTAGAGCTGTAAGACCTGTCAAGAACACCATTAACTATAAAATTAATTGATACTAATGCACCTCCAGCGCCCATGCCATTACATAACTATTCCATCTGATAGTTAATGTCACCTTTGGAGGATGATGAAGACGATGAAATACTGAGGAAGACAAACAAAGTCAAGCCAAAAGTTACTGAGCATTTGTGTGACTGAGATTACTATTTCTGAATGACCCAATTAACCCTACATTATATACCCTGGCTGATAAGGTCACCATATAACTGCCATTAGCTTCAAGAAAGCCAGGAAATATGTTACTTTGTATGTTTGTCAGAGGTCTACCAGGAGAGAAGGTGTCACCAGAACGAAATTTAAGTCCAGCTCTAACAGCACCAAAGATTTAATAATTCAAATTAATAATTTATATTTACTGGTTTGGTTTGTTTTGAATTTCGCGCAAAGCTACATGAAGGCTATCTGCGCTAGTCGTCCCGAATTTAGATTACAGTGAAGGCAACTAGTCATCACCACCCACTGCCAACTCTCGGGCTACTCTTTTACCAAAGAATAGTGAGATTGACCGTCACATTATATCGCCCCCACGGCTGAAAGGGCGAGCATGTTTGGTGGACAGGGATCCGAATCGAACGCTCTAACCACCTGGCCATGCCAGGCTTTTACTTACTAAAAGAAAAACTATTTTTTTTATGACAATAAAAATCAGACTATGTTACTATGGAAGCATTTTGACTTAATTTAAGTTTAAATATTTATAATTTAATGTTTATAAATTTAGGACTTTAGATCAGATGATGACTGACAAGATTAATAAAAACATGCATAAACTGAATTTGAAGAGAAATGAAACACACTACATGTAGCATTTATATAGCTTAATCAGTTATCCAACACATCACGAGATGGTCTATTTTGCATATGCAAGTAAGCGGAATCTTTTTTCAAGTGTGTGGATGAAAGGTCTTAAGAAAGTGCTCAATCAGAATACATTCATGTGTTAAATGTGGTTGGTTCATATTTCGCAGTTAAAGCATCTGTAGAGCTAGATAATGTGCAAATGTTTAAAAAATATAATGCTTTTCCACCTAAATAAATACTAAACAGTTTGTAGAAAAGATAAGTGGAAAAAAGCTGTTATTAAAGTTACCATGGCAACCATTAATAAGCGACCAACATAATGAACAGAAATTTCAATCGCTATCTCTAGCAGTAGCACAAGGTGGCCTTAATTAGAAAGGAAAATAAAACTGAATCTAAATTATGTAAATTAAAAAAGCACTGCAATAACTTACAGGGTAAAAAAGCCGCTATAATAGAAGAGTTGAAATACACTCGATGTGCGACAACATCTGTATACAATCTGAATGTTATCTGCCTTTTTGAAGTAATTTAAAGGCCCAACCCCTACCATAAGAGCTTTCCCATACCCTTAAACCACCATAAGTAGCTTTCACTCTGTGAACAAAAGCAGAATAAAGTGCTTCATTAGTTTTTTCTGTATACATGTACCGTAAATGCAGAATAGAGTAAAATGTGAGTCATCTAACCATATCACATGCTTCCAGTGAATCATTGTCCATATTTGGCCTTTAAGTACCATTGAAACCTTGCTTTTCTGTTTGAGATAAGATGTTTTTGGACTGGCTAACTTTCATATAACAGTATTTGTAATGTTTTTCACATAGGAGGCTGTCAAATCCTGTCCGCTATTAAAGGAAACAGTTAATTGGGATACCCTCTGAAGATTGTTGTTTACAGGCCTTTTCAACAGCATTTTTCTCTCTCAATCAGTCACTAGTAGTTGGATGCCTCATCATTTTATTTCAGTTGACTTTGATGTCAGATGCTTTTAAACAGTTGGTCAAAAAATGGTCTTTGATAGCCACACTTGTGATAGACTGACGCGACTATCATGCTCTTTTGAAAATCATAGGACTTACCTGACCACATTTCTCTATTCCAAAATGGTGCACTTTCATTCTGAGGGATAAAGACTATTCTAAGATAAAGAATGCAACATATTTACCTTGCTCATTTTGTCCAAAACCAATTTAAATAACATAAAGATTAATCTGATCAACCCCTTAACAGTAAATCTCAACTCTATTGAACATTAACTTGAATGCCGCGTTTTCTACCACAATCCCCTGTTTGCGTATGTGAACCAACTGCAGACTATACTATTCGATAAATATAGTGCAAAAGATCAAGCCATTCCCCAGATATTATACTACTCCGACTCCAGACTATCATAACGAGCAAAGATGTTCCAACTCGTTATTTGCGAAATAAATTATATAGTCATTATCTGTCTTAAACGTTATGTCGTTTGAGTATGGAAAACAGCCTAATTGATTGATTGCTCACGTGTAACATGGCCTTTTATGCAAATCATCTTAAGTTTACTTAATCTTGAGTTGATCAAGATGAAGCTTCTCTGTTATCTAGCACACTGATGGGATTAACATGCAAGTTAAGAATCAATATATAAAAACACATAAAATAAATTTGTAGTGTCTTTAATTAATTATCCATGCAAGTGAAGTGGGAAGAATTTAAAGTAGATTTGAATTATTCATGGAAAACTTTTTGGATATATATTTTCGTTTAATCCAAGGAGAGAGTATTAATGTAATAAGCACCTATTCAACTGAATGCGTTAAATAAATCACTTTGGACGCTAACAATAGGGTGTTGGTATTAAATAACTAGGTTAGATGATCTGGCGTCAGACGATTAGTCCGACATTGAGGAGACCGTTTGTTAATACATAAATGTCAACATGCCTCTCTATCCAGGTATATATATACATGCTTTACATTGTTTATTTTTCTTTTTTAATAAACCTAAGGCGTATTTAGCTAAATTGTAGTCAATTATTGTTTGACACAATGCAATGTTTCTGATATCCACGAGTCACCAGTAACATGAATCGTTTGTTTTAATGTTTTTCTTCGAATTTCCAATTTTAAAAAATACGAATTGTTGAATACATTTTCAAGTAATCCAAATATCTTAACAAAACAATAACTTATGTTCTTTATAGACCATTAGTAATTATCATTAAATATTTTTATCGAATTATAATTGTTTTATTGTAATAATGAGGTGCTGGCGATGCAAACTCCTCCTCAACAAAGGTTTTATCACGTATACTTTCAAGTTTTCAATTCATCTATTCGTTGTCTTTTTATAGCGTCATAAGTAATATCTTTTTCCTTCGTTATTCACCACCATTTTGAACACTCAAGTCAAACGTGTTTTCCTAATATCTTGAACAGTGGTCTTTGTCTCTCTAAGGACACATAATAGTACGTACAAATGCTTGGTTATGAACGTGCCTGTACATACATTGACGTTATAAAATGGGAAACATGTAAATTTAACTTATCGAACAAGATCCCACAAAAATAATCCAAAGAGATATGAATTCGAAGCTTCTGTAAGAAACAAAAACTGACTGGCGATACAGTTGTGTCACGTACTAATCCCATAGGCAATCCAACTCCATTACAATATTTTTGCAAATGTCCAAACATATACGTTGATGTTAGTCTAACGACGATTTGAATTAATATCGACAGTAGCGTAAAATATAACCTGCATAACTCATTCTAGTATTAGATAGTGGTATTTCAACCTTCCACACACAATAAAGAGAAGAAATTAAGAGTAAGATATTTTTATTTCTTGCTTTTGAAGTTCATGTGAAATTACGTTTTACTAACACCATGACAGTACAAATTACAACTTTAAGCGTCACTTTAGTGTCTACTGACTGACTGACAGACAACGCAGTACTATATAGTGGTGCGAGAAAATATGACCCCTCCAGGTGGCCTTCGGCCCCCTTTCGAGGAAGTAAAATATCAGATATAGAACAAATATTTGCATATACGTATGTATATACGTATCACACAATATCACTCAAAATAACTGCTCTATTTAAACTTAATAGCAGATCATATCCTTATATGTATATAGGGTCTGCATAAATCAAATAATTTTGGGTCAAATACCCAATTTACTATGTAAAATACATAAGGAACACTCAGCAGTAATTAACTGTATTAACTTAAGTATTGACATTACTGAGCTTACATTTTTGTAGTTTATACATTAAGGACCTTGTTTGTAACCAACAATCATGGACCCATAAACAGTTTAGTACGTAGTTAAAAAAAAGTATTCAAAAATTCTGATGGGTCTATTTTAACCCATTGTTAATTCTAAGAATAAAAAGGAAGTTGTTTATTTCAATTTTAATCAGTTCAGATAAAACTTGGTCACCTTTCTTTTAAAGAAAACAAAGACACGCAAGTAAAATGAGACTCAAGACAACATTTTAATGATGCATTTTATTTAATCTTCACTGCATGAAAGTAAAATGAAATTGATAACAAAGAATGTTACAACATGAAGTTGTGAAACCGTGCAAATAAAATAGTACTCCTTTCTTTTACACACACACAACAAAAAAAAACAACAACTAAAGTTATCTCAATCTTTCAATAAATCACATTGATGATTCTAATTTCAATAATTTACTGTAAGTACTACTTTTCAGTTAACTCAATCCCTCCATGAATGCAGTTGCTACGTTTCAACCAAATAGTTAAGATGATTCGATAAAAACCTACTCCTTACTGAAACAAAAAAAGAATAAGTTATACAGATCAAGCCTCCAAATATGACTTTAAAAATTTAAAATATCTTGTTTATGATGTTATAATCTTACAAGAAACTCCATGATACAGAATTCCGACAACAAACACAAAGACACAGGACTAATTTTACATGATGTGGTTTAATCATTACTACTTAATTACCCAATATTTTCAATGAACACAACAAGGTAATTTGTAAATAGTCTTCTTAAAACCAAACCTTAGAGACTAAGTACAATGATAAAATCCAAAAAATTAACCCCCTCAATCAATAACTAAAGAGTTTAAGTATAGATAATAATCAGAAAACCCTTTTAAATTAACCTGTGATAAACCCAAACTGATCATATACAATCTTTAAAAAACACAGCTCAACATAACTCTCAATGTATGGGACACAAGACATTATCTTATTGAACCAAATACAAATTAACAACCAATTAATTTAACCAAGAATGTTGTCAAATGTAAATGAAAATTAAAACCCAGCAATGAAAATGCAAGCCACTGCATCGTTTTGCACATTATGTTATTTGAAGTTCAACCACTACTGAAATACAATCAGTCGCTAATGAACAGGTGATAGATGAGCGCCCAGAAAATACAGATCATAACACCTTTCCTCGATGACCAACAAAATAAAAACAGGTGATAAACTGTAATGTATTCTCACAGAAATAATATCAAAGTAAATCCAAATGATGAAAATTTTCAGTCTGCGAAGCAAGTGATGACCTGCTCATCTGTAGTTTCTGCTTATCATAAATGACTTAAACCCATGGCTTTGTTGAAATGCCCTCTCCCCTTCCCCCCACATACAATGATGGCCATCACAACCACAAAACACATTATGCATCTTCATCGTCATCATCACCCTCTTCATCAGCTCCATCGTCATCTCCTTCCTCATCATAATCTTCTCCCTCTCCTTCAGGAATGTCTTCTTCATCTTCATCTTCTTCCTCAACCCCTTCTTCAAACTTCTCTTCTGATTTACCATTTTCTTTTTCTGAAAAGTAAAAACCACTTTAAAAAATCTTAAGTGTAAGGAGTAATACTGTCAAGAGCTAAACCTACAATTTAAAAATTTTCTTCTCTTTTTATGCAAGCAAAAATAAGTCTATTCTAGCTAGTCAGTATTTTCACATTACTACAAAATTATCTAAGTGAAAAGAACAATCTTACTTAAGTTCAACAGTTTTAAAAACTGTACTAAAGAAATTAACTTTGTACTCCAAAGAGAATATGAAGTAACAGTAAATTTATACCTAACATCTTAAGTAAAAAATATTGATAATTTCACATACTAATGTGCATTTTTATTTAATCCTCACCAGTATTTGCATTGTACAAAAAATATTTTATTTTAAAATTACAATTAAATCAATTAATGTCACAAAAATAATTAGCTTATGTTACAGATTACTATAGTCTTTCTATTAAGCCAACTATCCTGTAATTGAAATCAGGTTTAAATCAATTAGTGTCACAAAATTAATCAGTTAGTAGAAATGTTTTGTGATTAGTTCAACCATCCAGTGATTCAAATACGGCCATTCATTATTTTTTTTTCAATTAATTCAAGCTTATTCAGCTTAATCAATTAGTGTCATATTAATAACCAACTAATCAAAATATTGCTACATTCTTTAGGTGTTAAACATAAAGCTAAATAATGGGCTATCTGTGCTCTCCCAACCACAGGTATCAAAACCTATGTTTAGTATTTACATGTTGTTTTTTAGCTGTCTGATGAGAATAATCAATTAGCAAATTTCACTAATCACTCAGCTCTAGTCAGAATATGTTATCTGATTGTAGTCTATTGGTTGAGGAGTATGGTCTGCTCTAAAAGTGGTTCACAGAGATATACAATGTTGAAGTTCACATCAAAGATGTTAAATTGGGCTCAGATCTTGTGATTAGCTGACTATGGAAACTTCCTTTACTCACTGAATGCTGATTTGCCATATAGGGTATGGTCAACTTACAGCAGTTAAATCCGAGTGTATTGTATACAGTGTACAGCTCACAAAAATTTTGCCTGCATTTAACTCTTTCAGCTGGGACTGACCTCGTAACCATTTTGTGTTTGTTATGGTTTTCATGCTATAACTTTTAAATTAGTTAGCGTATGTTCATGAAATTTGGCAGATTATCAGTAAACATTACAATGCTTTCATATGCAAAATATCAATTTTTTTTTATCAAGTCTTAAGGTTTGTAAAGCAATATTTTTCTCATGTCTTTTTTCTTTTTGTATGTTGCCAATCCAATGTGCAAAGTAATTTTCATTTTAGGATTAAAAATACTTTTATGCATCAGAAAATT